CTGTGTTGCCTTTGGCAGTCTCAGTGTCGAAGTGCGCCGGGTCAGAAGTCTCACACTGAGCGATGATGCGACACACACACTCCATGGCGAAGCGGCGCGTGGCCCAGCGCAGCGCGGTGAACGGGCCGCTGGACTCAGAGCGAGCTTTGAAGGCCGAGGAGTCGTCGTCTCGACTGGCGTCCGCCTCCTCCTCCTCCTCCTCCTCGTCCTCCTGACGCAACTCCACCGGAGCCCGACAGTCTGAGAGAGATTACAGAAAGGTTCATCCCTGACAGTAGAAACTAAAGGTCTACTAACGAGCTTGTGTTAGCATTTTAGGATCTTCATTACCTTCATAAATATTAACTCAACCGTTCGCAACTTGGGTCACAAAGTTTATCGGCTGGTATTTATATTTGATAGATTTGTATTTTAATCCGTCTGTATAACTGTTAGTGTGATAGAGAATATGTAATGTTTCAATGTTTGATGATTGGGATTTATATTTATGATTTATATGTATTTAGAAACCACCTTCTTACATTACATTAAATGAATGTAATGATATTGATCTAAGGACAACAGAAAGTCAACACATCTTCACTTGCAGACTGAAAACCACCTGTTTCCACTGCACCCTGGCCAAAGCATTTCAGAAGATGTACTTAGCTTTTTTAGTTAATATCTTAACAGTTGATTGCATTTTTTGTAAGGTGCTTCTGATAATAGGGACACCAACACCGTGGACATCATCTCTAGTTTAGATCATTTACAATTATTATTATTATATTGATGGACAACAGAAAGTCAACACATCTTCACTTGCAGACTGAAAACCACCTGTTTCCACTGCACCCTGGCTTTTTTTGTTTATATCTTCACAGTCGATTGCACTTTTTGTAAGGTGCTTCTGATGAAAGCGACAGCCAAATAAAATGCAGGGTAATAAATGAAAACATCACCCTTTGCAGGCTGCTTCACGTCTAAGCTCACCAAATATACAGGTGTTTATTTCTATTAGAACAAGTACTGTTGGGTTGGGGGGATGGGGAGGGTCGGGCTCTCTCCGGCATAATTATTGGTTCACAACACTTTGCTGCTGGTGTTTTTTTTTATTTTCTATAAAATGCTGAATGAATGTAATGCTACATGTTTTCACAACTCACTGCATTGTAGGCGCTTTCACACCGCAGTACTTTTCCCAGTATAGTTCCGAAAATGTGCGTTCACACTAGGGATGCCAGAAACTGACCATGATCAAATTCGAAAATCGGACAGCCCCGGCGAATATTAATCGATTATTCGATAATAAAATCGAATTTTAAAAATAATTTTCGATTATGGAGACTGTAACGAATATTCGAATAATCTAATAATCGCTGGCATCCCTAGTTCACGCCAAAAAAATCCAGGACTAGAACTTAGTTCATAGGAACCTTTTCACCCCCTTTTCAGTCCCTGCTAGAGAGCAGGTACTTTCATGGGAGAAAAAGGTTCCCATTTCTGATTGGCTGGGCGGATTGCCACGCCCCGTAAATCTCCAAAAAACGTTTTGTGACGACGCCATTTTATTTACTTGCATTAGCATTATTAGCATTAGCATTAGCCCAGCGCACCAACGGAGAGAGACTAACTTATGGCAACACAAAAGAAAACATGGGAGCGGTGGAGATGAGGAGGTGTCGGCGTTCTGGCGATTTACTCTGAAGGCTTCAGTAGAAGCTACTGTTTCGGCCCATCTGTGGGAATTCTGTGTTGAACAAGAAAATTCATAAAAATATTTGGAAAAGAAAGAACAAGTACTGCAACAATTGAACCCACCGGTGGTTGCAGACAGGACGTCCTTGCAAAGTTTGAGCCAGTGTCCAAGCTTCCCGCTGGTGGCGCTGGAGGACATCATGTGGACCAGCGTCTCCTGGATGTCCCGCCTCAGACCGGGATCAGACTCTCGGTCCAGCAGAGTGAACAGAGCTCCTTCCAGACCAACCTCCTTTATGGTGACGTCTGCAGAGAGAGGGGGGGTGTTAGGTGTCAGTGTAGGGAGAAATAATTGTCTTGATGTTCTGAATGATGGGAAGGAAATATGTGTAATAAACTGTGAATGCAACATGAAATACAATAAAGATAATCACTGTGTTTCGGACTGAATGTGCTGCAAATATGTTATTCATAAAAAAGGGAAAAATAAGTTTATGATTAAACTATTTATTGGCTGATGGAATAGGTGGAACTAACGCTATTTGTCATTCTAGTCGGACCCATTCGAGCGTAAAAACTGTAACTATGGGTGTAGAAAGAACCCAAAACTATAGGTTTTGTCATATGGATTAGGAATTTAATAACATTATTTTAACTACCAAAAAAAATTCTAATCCGCTTAGGCATCGATTGTATTAATAGTGAAAAAATTGTCCTATAAAGAAAATACTTTTACAACGGTTTCAAATTAAGCCTTTGACCTCCGTTGTTAACACACATCGACGTACGAATATGTAATGTGGACGACACTTATCTGTCACCTTTGTCACAATATGTGATTTTTAGACACACACACCAGCGGTCGGTGGACACGGTCGAGGAAGGAATAGGACACAAGACGCCGCCCGGCACCACCCGCACAAGACGCGTCGCCAGTCGCTCCGCGTACCTCCAAAGACTTGTGCGACACTGCGACGCAGTTTCTCAGACGGGGTCTGCTCTGTTGTGTTGTCGACCCCAGTCGTCGAATTTCGAAGTTATGTAAGTAACTGTAATATAAGTTAGTTCAGTCAAATTCGGTAGGTCCGTACAAACTTATCTAAAGAATTATTTATTGACAAGGACCGTAATGTTACACAAAGGATATACTACAAAGGTCTTTTCAAGTGTAATTAAGAAGTAATTATAGATTAAAAGGTGTTAAGTCTATAGTGTTTATAAGTAATTGCAAGGATAATTACTTTCTGTGAAGTTACGTCGAACCGCCAAGGATCTGCGTTAAACTGACCCCCCGCCGGGTCAATAAAAGACTCCCCCCGGGTTATTTACGTCCTGCTTTTTCTGTTTCGTCATAGTTCATTAACGCGTATTCTTTTGTTACGTTATTGTCAATAACCATAATACAAAAGTCATGTGTAATAAAGGAAA